CACGAGATCCATGTCGGCAGTAGTATGAACACCGCAAGATTTCATGTTGGTTAATACGTAAATCAATGGTCTTGATAGTTAATTTATGTCTTCTCTCATTTGAAACGTAACCGTGTGATGTATCATTTATAATAGAAGTCTGAATTTGATAATCAAGAATCCGCTTCTTCTACATTCCCTATCTTTTGCTTATGGACCGCTTCATTCACTATTGTATTTCTCATGCCTCATCTACTTTGAAATTATATGTCGCTTGTTATGAGAAATATGTCGAACTCTCATAAAGCTTCTAAGTTGCCCTGGAAGTAGATTTTGCTTGCACTTTTTGATTGGTCACGAGAGCACTTTTCAAACATTTGTTTGGAACTCCATTTTTTTTTTTTAGCACCTTGATTGCCGATGATACTCACATGTCGTACATTATCTTACATAGCTATGTCAAATGGCAGTTTGTAGAGAATTCTTTGAGATAGAGCATAAAGAGGCAATTCTTTTAGTCACTTACAATTTGATGGATTGAAAGGTCATAGATGAATTTATGTTTATTACATCTATGATTATTTCTTTGATGCATTTATCCCCTTGGAGTTTGATCCGTTGTATTTCAATGTACAATACCCATTACAAACTCTCCAAAGGGGTCATAATATTTTGTTAGCAATCAGTCCTCCCATTTGCATGTCTTATTAGTGTCTTCTATGTCAATTGAGACGGATTATCCTTCATTCGCCATGATAGTGAAAACATGTCGTGTTGAACAGTTTGTGACTAAGTCACTTGGATCACTTAACCTTGCACTTGATTTAGGCATATTGACTCAACAATCGAGTATCTCACTTTAAATATCAATGTCATATATCAGGCATTTTTAGTTTGATGTGATTTTAAGTTCATGTAACTCAATCATGCTTGAGTCCCTCATTGTCCATGATTGATCCTCCTTTACTTGGTTCGAACCAAGCTTCTCTTGCAAACATGATTCAATTCTATTCCCATGTATGTGCTTCAAATTCTTCTGGTTCTGAGTTCAATCATTCCAGGTACGAGTTCAAATTGAGTTCATGTCCACAATACTTAATATTTATTTGAGTTCTTGTCATTGTTCTTTTCAAGTCACATGCAGTCCAGTTTGAGTCTAACTCAAGTCTTTTGTAGTTATATTGTGTCATTTGCAAGTTCAAGTTCATATTCAATTAGAATTGTGAATTTAATTGGTTCAAGTTCATTTAGATGATTGAATCAAGTCCACAATAGTCCCAAATTCTTCCAAGTCCTTTGTCTTATTTCAGACAAAATTTCGGCAGCCTCCCGGCGTCTCCCCCGTTAAGGGGAAAAACCAAGAGGCCGCCTACCCGCCACGTAAATAAATACGTGCACGGTTGGTTGGTGAGACACCGCGGCGGTGTATTTTTGTTTTTCTCCCACCACGCGCACTAAAGGCGTGCTTGGGGTTTTAAAAAGTATTTTTTTTTGAAAAGAGAGCAATTTTTGTTTCCCCCCCCGGGGTACTTATAAGTGACCCCGCTTCCCACACGTGCCGCACGGGGTTCCATCCTACCACGCCAATAAAGGCGTGCTTAGGACAGTTCTCCATTTGCCACGAATATTGAAGCAGGTTTTGAGTTTAGAAAGTATACCTCCGCGGGGTGTGTTGTTGACACGTGGATCGAGGGGTCACTCGCTACCTCGTCGTATGTAGGTGTCGCACCGGGTTCCCTCCTACCACGGCCACTAAAGGCGTGCTTAGGTGGTTTGCCGGTCCGACACGAACGTCGAGGAAAGAGAGTGGGGGGAAGCAAGCATTTTTTTTTATAAATAATTATAAATTAACTATAATTAGTTATATTTAATATATAACTAACTATACTTAACTTAAGATCATTTATAAATTAATTAGATTTAATTTACAATTAATTAGAAATTAATCATAATTAATTATATTTAATGTATAATCAATTATATTTAATTTAAAATTAATTATAAATTAGTTAGATTCAATTTATAATTAATTTAAAACTAATCATAATTAATTATATTTGAAATATAACTAATTATATTTGATTTAAAATTAGTTATAAATTAAAATAATTAACTAATTATAACTGATTTTAATTAATCATAATTAAATATAATTAAGTATAATCATTTATAATCAAATTAATTGAACAAAAATCTAAAAAGATTTAAGCAGGATTTATTAAATACTCAACCCCACATCAAGTTAAATCCTCCCTTTACCCTCTTAGCTCGGTGGAGTTACGGGATTTGGCTGAAGTTGTGTGTGAAAGGGATCAAGTTACCTTCACAGCCAGCTAGCTCCGGTACTTCCTTCCGATTCGACAGGAAGAAGTCGTCGAAGGAGTGGAGTCGAACGACAAGGGAGGAGGCGGCGGCAGCACAGAGAGGAGGTCGGGTTCTCTGGACTGGATCGGACGGCTGCAGGTATGGAAAATCCGCTTCTCTCTCTCTCCCTCTCTCTGCGGCTCAAAGAGACCAGGAGGTCGGAGGTGATGGGCTCGGGAAGGAGATCTGGGTCGGTTTGCAGAGAAAGAAGGAAGGAGGCGGGGTTCGGCCTGGTGGAGTTCGGTCGTGGGAAGAGGTCGTGGAAGCAGAGGGATCGGAGGGAGAGCGAGAGTGAGGAGGGAGTCGAGAGTCGAAGAGCAACCGAAAGCTTCGCTCGGGTGGCTATTTAACGATGCGAATGAACCTCTTCGAGCGGAGTTTGAGCAGGATTCGTGGGATACGACTCGAGCGGCGCCGAATCAGCGCAATTTCAGCAGGATATCGCGGGTCCGACGGGTAAGAGGCTTATGCGCATGATTTCTGCTTTCATTTCTTCTCAATTTTGATTCTATTGGGTATGACATGAAGGTCAACACCCGTGTCCGTGTCGTGTCGTATCCTTGTCGCCGTGTCCGTGTCTGTGCATCATAGCTTACATCAATAGATTTAAGTAGGATTTAAGCATAATTTATCCTAAATCCTACTAAATTATAAAAATGACAGCTTCAAATCTTACAAAATAGTTAAATCCTTCAAATTTTCTTTATATTTTATTAGTTTGATGTTTAAATAATTAATAATTACATGTGATATTAATATATAAACCTTAAGAAATTTAATTATAATTTATAATTTGCAATTTATACCATGTTAAGAAAATAGCGCGTGCCGTTTGTGCAATGCGCCACGCGCCATTGCCCATGCATGACGCAAATAGCGTGCGCTATGTTGATGTTTCACTCCACGCTAAGCAAATAGCGCCGTATTCGCGCCACGCCGTGCTCCATGGCCTGCGCTATTTTACGCAATTGACATGTATGAGGATGACAGTCACTAAACATGTTGCATAGAACTACAAAATTGATGAATGAACTTCTCTTCTCCTTCTTCCTCTTGATCAAGCACAAGCTCTACAAACTTCTCCTTCACCTTCATCTTCTTCCTCTCGATCAAGCACGGATGCTTTGTTGAATAGACATGCAACCGCATCTCCTCCAACCTTCTCTTTCGCTTGCTATCAAATAGTAGCAAATCATACTTCTCTGACTCCCGCAATCGAAATAACAAAAACCCTCTCAACTTCTTCTTCTTTCTCTTTGATTCCTGTACTAAATTTCGTCCAACCCTTTTATCTCCTATCGAAGCCTTGAAGTCTACTTCTTTGTGATGAATCACGTCTGCTCACCCCACCCACCCACACGCTGCTTTGCTATTTCAGCTCCTCACGCCTTGCTTGTTCGCTTTGATGCTTTGCTCAGCCCGCTCCACTCGCTTGCCTGATTTAACTGGATTGGTTCGGCTGAACCAGTCCATTCTATTTGGTTTTAACATATTGTCCCTCCTGAACATACTAATTCAAAATGTTGGAGATATGCGAATGAGTTTATAAGAAGACAGCTTTTATCATTCTTCCAATTTGTTTTCAATTAGGTAATTGTTATATTTCATTTATCGAAATTATATATAAAAAATGCGATCCCATCTTACTTTGATGCTTTTAAGTACTTTGTTGTTTACAGAAAGTAGCATACCTTCTTGTATCTTCTTGAGAAGCAATTTACTGCTATGGTAAGGTTTTAATGGAAAGAATACAAATTTTATTCATTTGATTGATTTTATAGGGAAGTTCAAAGCGAAGAATCAGGGCCTTTATTATTTGTATTTGGAGGCAGTTTCAGTTAGAAATTCGAAGTCACATGCTGTTTCTGAAGAATTATCTGATTTGCATACGTTTTCACCAAGGGATTTGGAGTTTATTGTCAAATTCTTGGATGAAAATGGGCCAGATACATTTCGCCAAATAGTTCAGTCTTTTTGTCCTTCCATTTATGGGCATGAATTTGTAAAAGGTAGGGGTTTTTTATTTCCGAACTGTTTTTTCTTAAGCATCACATTTTAATTTTGCTTGAGCAGCTTTCCTTCAACAATTCTTTCACATGCTTAGTGGTGACATTGTTTCATTTCGCATTGCTTGCTTAGTATTAGGAGTGTATATTTTTGGTTGTTTTTTTTGGTCTTTTTTGTACCATGGTTTTGATGGTTTTGAAAATTGAATTGGTCCGATTGAATTTTGACTAGTTCAACTGTTAACTAGTCATACGGCTGATTCAGTCCGTCTTAAAAACTGGCCCGCATCAAATTGGTGTGAATTGGCCAACTATTGAATAAATTAATTTATGTAAAACATTAAATAAAGTATTAAATTAATTTAAATATACAACAACAACAACAACAACAACAACAACAACCACCACAAGCCTTTGTCCCACTAGATGGGGTTGGCTACATGAATCCTTTTTCGCCATTGTGTCCGGTTAAAAGTCAAATTTTCATTTAAATCTAATAAAGAAAGATCATTTCTAATATTTTCTAACCAAGTCTTTTTAGGTCTACCTCTACCTTTCTTAACATAAGTCAAATCTAATACCTCAACTTTCCTAACCGGGTCATCGGAAGGCCTCCGTTTAATGTGACCAAACCATCTAAGGCGACTCTCTCTAATTTTATCTTCCATTGGAGCTACTCCAACCTTTTCACGTATATGCTCATTTCGTATCCTATCTCTAATGGTCAAGCCACTCATCCACCTAAGCATCCTCATCTCTGCAACATTTAACTTAGTATTATGCTTCTCTTTTAATGGCCAACATTCGGCACCATAAAGCATTGCAAGTCTCACCACCATCTTATAGAATTTTCTCTTAAGTTTGAGGGGGACTTTTCTATCACACAATAAACCCGAAGCATTCCTCCACTTCAACCATCCAACTTGAATTCTGCTGATAATATCCCCATCAATTTCACAATCATTCTGAACAATAGACCCAAGATATCTAAAACGTGTACTCTTATTAATGACTTGATCACCGAAAGTCACAATCCCCTCACTAGGTCTATTGCTAGTTTGCTACTGAAATTACACTCCATATATTCAGTTTTAGATCTACTCAAGCGAAAACCTTTAGACTCTAAAGTTGACCTCCATAATTCAAGTTTACCTTCAACTCCCTCTCTAGTCTTATCAACAAGAAGAATATCATCAGCAAAAAGCATACACCAAGGTACATCCTCTTGCAAATGTCTAGTGAGAACATCCATGACTAAAGCAAAAAGATATGGACTTAAGGCTGATCCTTGATGTAATCCAACCGAAATAGGAAAATACTTGGTCAAACCACCTTGTGTTTGAACAGAAGTAATAGCTCATGCATACATATCTTTAATGATTTGAATATAAGCATTATTAACTCCTTTCTTTTCAAGAACTCTCCATAGCACTTCTCTTGGAACTTTACCATATGTTTTCTCTAAATCAATAAATATTATATGTAGATCATCCTTTTTTTTCTCTATATTTCTCCATCAAACCTCTTAATAAATCTACGGCTTCCATAGTAGATCTACCCGAAATAAATCCAAATTGATTTTGAGAAACATTAGTATCACGCCGCAACCTATGCTCCATATTTCGCTCCCATAGTTTTAAAGTATGACACATTAACTTAATTCCTCTATAATTCGCACACTCTTGTGCATCACCTTTATTCTTAAAAATATGAATTAACACACTCATTCTCCACTAATCTGATATCTTTTTAGTCTTCAAAAAAATATTAAAAAGTTTAGTAAGCTAAGAAATTACTTCATCTCCTAAGCATTTCCACATCTCTATTGGAATATCAGCAGGTCCAACAGCTTTTCCGCACTTCATTTTCTTTAAAGCCTCTCTAACTTCGATTTTACATATACGCTGATAAGAACAAAAATCTTTATTTTTATTTAGGGTGATAAAGTCACTAAGGTCAATCGTATTTTCACATTCTTCATTAAAAAATTTAGCAAAATACCTCATCCACTTTTGTTGAATATCATCTTCTAGGAAAAGTACTTTTTGATCTTCATCCTGAATAAATTTTACTTGAACTAAATCTTTACTACTCCTATATCTTTGTTTGGCTAACTTATACATATATCTTTCTCTCTCTTTAGTATCGAATCTATTATATAAATCATTAAAAACTAAGCTCTTTGCATCGCAAATATCTTTCTTAAATTCCTTACGAGCTTGTTTATAGCTTTCCCAATTATCAAAATTTTTACATCTAAAACAATTTTTATAACAACTCTTCTTATTTTTTATTTTTTCTTGCACATTTAAATTCCACAATCAATTATTTTTACTATTAGGAGCTTTTCCCTTCGAAACTCCAAGAACATCTTTTGCAATATTCTTAATATCATAAGTCACCTTTTCCCACATAATATTGACATCATCATTCTTAGACAGAATCTTAAGATCTAAAATCTTACTCTAAAAAATATTTTTATTAATATTCTGTAAATTCCACCATCTAATCCTAGAAAATCGTTTTACTTTATTTTTTATTTTTTGCCCTTTTATCTTAAAGTCCAAAACTAATAATCTGTGTTGGGTGCATAAATTTTCACTCGGTATAACTTTACAATCTTTGCAATCTAAACGATCTAATTTTTTTATAAGAAAATAATCAATCTGTATTTTAATATATCCATTTTTATAAGTGATAAGATGCTCATCTTTTTTCTTAAATAAGGTATTAGCTATTAAGAAATCATAAACTAAAGAAAAATTTAATATAGTCTTTCTACCTTTATTTGTCGTTCGAAACCCATGGCCACCATGAATGCTTTTAAAATCATCTACCTCTCTACCAACATGTCTATTTAAATCTCCTCCAATAAAAACTCATTCTTCAAGATGTATATTTTGTATTAATTCTTCTAAGTCATTCCAAAATTTTAATTTTGAACTAATATCCAAACATACTTGAGGAGCATAAGCACTTATAATATTAACAATCTTAGCATCAACAATAATCTTTAAAGCTATAATTCTATCTCCAATTATGTTAATTTTTATAATATTATCTTTCAAACTTTTATCTATAATCACACATACACCATTTCTAGTACAACTCCTACCCGAATACCAAAGTTTATATCCTAAACTATTAATCTCCTTAGCTTTCTCTCCAATTCATTTAGTTTCCTGAATGCAAAGAATATTTATCTTCCTATGAATTATAATATCTATTAATTCCATTAATTTTCCTGTAAGGGAGCTTATATTCCAAGTTCCTATCATAATTTTAGTTTCATGGACTAGCTTCTTTGCCCACATAAATCCTTGATGCAGGAACCCTTGCCTATTTAACACTGCACCCGGGCGCCAATACAGATAGTTTTAATATTTATTGCATCATCTGATTCAATCGAGATCAAACCTTTGAATCTTGAACTTCTCCATTTTTAGGTTTAACATCTTGTCCGATTTTCACAATCTTGATTTGTACATATTAATCACCTCTCATGCTTCTGTTAATGTATTGATTTATTAATAATGATGTTAAGAAATCATTATTAGCCTAATCTAAACTTTTTGGGTTAGACTTATATGTCCTTGTGATTATTTTTGGTTAAGTATTGCTAAACCTAATTTGTCATATTCACATAATGAAGGAATTATTATATTAGATGCATGGTTGAAGGCTGCCATATATTAAACATAAGAAAAGTAAAAATAAACCTAGCGGCATGTTTTATTCAATGTTACGAGATAATATTATTATCTTGACGAATGTTATTCAAATATCAATGCTATCTTTCAATTGTAGTCTGTTTGGTTTAATGAATTTTACTTGAATAATGTAATCTTATTTGGAATAATTAATAGTGTTTAAAACATTTCTCTTTATTTTTTTTTTCTTTTGTTTTATTCTATCAAGATTGAGATAATTTTGATGACATCTAATTTGGCTACTATTTAGATTATGTCAATCTTGACTACATGTTATTCAGATTACCTCAATATGAGAGATAACATTAAATTACACCACTTATTATAAATAACATAACATTACATCAAAGAAAACATTGAATCAAACATGCCCTTAGGTGATTTGGATATATACAACTAAGGGTAAAAAATACATTCATTAGATGAGTTATAAAATTGTTAATGAATTAGGAAGGAGAAAATAGACATAAGATGACATGCATAGAAACAGTTCAAAATATTCTATGAACTCATAAAATCTGATGATTCAGAAAACCAATCTCAAATTGTTGGGGTAAGTATAAATGAATTATTACTTGACAAGAGTTCATAAGTAAACGATTGAAATTTCAAAATAGAGATAGTTTATCAAAAGAGTCTTAATTTATACATTATTTATTTTTTTGGATAAAGCACGCTGTAATAGGTCAATCTGACTTTTGAGAAATATCCATTTTTTAAGCACAAAAAAAAAAAAAAGAATGATACATGAGCAAGGGTCAGAAAACCATCCAACACTTTTTTGAAGATTCAATTTTTGACATAATTTAGCATGCAGTATTAGTAAACCACCTACATCGGCATGTATATTACATACCATTTTTCTACAGAGCAAAATCTATGACAATGTTACACGTCACTAAGGCATTGTTTGACGGTGCTTTGCTGTGTTCTGTGGAACGAAATAGTCACTACTATTCTCAGATATGGTTACTACTCTGCCAGTTTGTTTCCATAATTTTCAATAGTCATGCAAGAGGTGCAGTTGAAATATAACATTTAATGCTGCATGTTTGCCAAACTCAATAAAGTTGTGATATTTCTGATACTGGTAAAGAAAGGAAAACATTAAGAAATAAGGTCTACAAGTTGGGTTATCCTACAGTAAGATTCATTTTTAGTAAATGGAGGAACTAAGGAGTTGAGTTTCACATTAAGAGTTGATGAAGCTAAGGAATTTTCTTCATCTAGCAGGTAGGACAAGCATCAAATCAGTGAAGAGAACAAATAATTGTATGAATTGACTGAAATTAT